ACGGTTGTTTGTAACAGGCAAAACGAATCGAGATAGATATACACAAATCTATCTTATATATATATAAATGTTCGTATGTCACGGTCGTCAAAACTCGGGAACGGCTGAACCGATTTGAAAAATTTTTTTTTGTATTGTTCGGTATAATACCAGAATATAATATTTGCACATTTTAACTTAGTCAAATTGATAAAATAAATGAAATATTGCCATGTGGGTGTCAAACTAAAGAGATTTAAGAAGGCTTACAGCCGAAACATTGTTTGAAGAGGGTTGCCACATGTTCAAAAATTTAACTAAAGTACATCGATAAAATAGATGAAATATTACAATATGGGTATTAAATTAAAGAGGTTTAAGAAAGATAACTGTTGGAAATATTTATGAGAAGGGTTGCCACCATTTTTTAAATTTTAACTCAGTTAAATTGATCCAGTATATGAAATATTGCTATGTGGGTATCAAACTAAAGAGTTTAAAGAAGGCTTAGGGCCGGTTGTTCAATGTCTGGTTATCACTACTTGCCGGCTAAACATCATAATCGACGATTTTGACATCATGCATATAACATGTGATCGATAAGGCAGTCGTTGTATCTAACCGGAGCTTCTACCTCCGATTTGTGCTAATCAGACATTGAACAACCGGCCCTTATAGTCAAAAAAATATTTTAGAGGGTTGCCACCTGTTAAAAAAATTTGCTCAAATTAATTGATAAACTAAATGAATTTAAGAGGTTTAAGAAAGATAACTGCTGGAAATATTTTTGAGAAAAATTGCCACATCTTTGAAAATTTAAACTCAGTTATTTTGATAAAATAAATGAAATACGGTAATTTGGGTATCAAAGTTCAGATTTTTAAGAAGGCTTACAGCCGAAAATATGTTCGGGGAAGAGGGTTGCCACCTGTTTGAAAATTTAACTCAATTTAATTGATATAGGTATCAAATTGAAGAGGTTTAAGAAAGAAGACTTTTGGAAATACTTTTGAGGAGGGTTTGCGAACTATTTGAAAATTTTAACTCGGTTAAATTGATTAAACAAATTAAATATTGTAATTTGGGCAGCAAACTAAAGAGGTTTTAAAAGACCTACAGTAGAAAATATGTTTGAGGATGGTTGCCACCTGTTTGAAAATTTAACTCAATTAATTGGAAAAAATAAATGAAATGTTGCAATATACCATGATGGGGTTGCGACCTGCTTTGAAAATTCTAAACTCAATTAAATTGATAAAATAAATCAGGTATTATAATACCGGTATCATATTAAAGAGGTTTAAGAAAGATGACTGATATAAATATATCAGTATATACATATAAATATTTTTAAGGAAGGTAAGGAAGGAAATAAATGAAATATTGCCAAGTGGGCGTCAAACTAAAGAGCTTTAAAAAGGCTTACATACGAAAATATGTGTGAGGAGGGTTGCCACCTCTTTGAAAGTTTAACTAAATTACACTGATAAAATAAATGAAATATTACATTTTGGTATCAAATTAAAGAGACTTAAGAAAGATAACTGTTAACTGATAACTGGAATATTTTTGAGGAGGGTTGCCACCTATTTTAGAATTTTAACTCAGTTAAGTTGATAAAGTAAATGAAATACTTCAATGCGGGTATCCAACTAAAGAGCTTTAAGAAGGGTTAAAATTTAAAATATTTGAAGGAGGGTTGCCACCTGTTAAAAAATTTTGCGTAATTTAATTGAAAAACAATAAAAGTTATTAAGGAAAAGCGGCTTAAGAAAGATAACTGCTGGAAATATTTTTGTGTACAATTGCTACCTCCTTGAAAATTTAAACTCAGTTGAAGTGATAAAATAAATGAAACACTGCAATTTGGGTATCAAACTTTAGATTTTTAAGATAGCTTACAGCCGAAAATACATTTGAGGAGGGTTGCCGCCTGTTTGAAAATTTAACTGAATTTAATTGATCAGGTATCAAATTAAAGAGGTTTAAAAAAGAATACTTCTAAAGTGGGAGAAGGAGGATTGCCACTTATTTGAAAATTTGAACACAGTTAAATTGATTAAGCTAACGAAATATTGCAATGTGGGTATCAAACTAAAAAATTTTTAAAAGACCTACCGTCGAAAATGTATTTAAGGAGGGTTGCCACCTGTTTGAAAACTTAACTCAATTAAATTTGTAAAAGAAATGAAATGTTACAATATGGGAACCAAACTAAAAGCATTTGAGAAATCTTGATTTAGAAATATTTTCAATAGGATTATGCTCTATCTAAAAGTAAAGACTGCAAATATTGGAAATATATTAAATATTACATAATTCGTTCCAAACAAAAATTGTTAGGGAAAGCCTTACTAGAGATTTATTTTATGTTTCCATTTATCCAAAGCCGAACAGTTGAAATGAAAAAAGAATTTACAAAATCTTATCAAACGAAGTGATCATATTATCAACGAAGAGTTGGTAAACAAATTTCGCAATGAAAAAAAATAATACAAACTACAGATACAAATGAAAAACTAATGAAAATCATACCTAACGAAAACATAAAAATTACCCATTAAAGCTGTTTAAAAAATCCTCAAAGAAAACTTAAAATTGGTGTCACAATTCCCTAACATTATAAAAAAGTAAACTTTTAATCATAAACAATTTCACTTGGGGTCGCCTTAGCCTACTACGTACTATTTTGCGAGTATATACACATATATACATATGTGTTAGGCTCTAACGCATATATATTTGTAGGTATAGCGTAGCGTATGCGAAAAGTTCCTCGCCCACTGTATATCGGAGTTAACATTTCTGGATTTGACGAAGTTATATCCTTCAAATCGGTTTATGTTTTATTGAAGAAAACGTTTAAAAAGTATTATGGCGTACTAATATGCATATACACACACATATGTGTTAGACTCTAACGCATATATATTTGTAGGTATAGCGTAGCGTATGCGAAAGGTTCCTCGCCCCCTGTATATCGGAGTTAACATTTTTGGATTGGACGAAGTTATATCCTTCAAATCTGTATATGTTTTATTGAAAAAAAACGTTTAAAAAGTATTATGACGTACTTATATACATACATATGTGTTAGACTATATATTTGTAGGTATAGCGTAGCGTATGCGCAAGGTTCCTCGCCCCCTGTACATCGGAGTTTACATTTCTGGATTTGACGAAGTTATATCTATCAAATCGGTCTATGCATTATTGAAAAAAAAAACGTTTAAAAAGTATTATGACGTACTTATATACATACACATACATACATATGTGTTAGACTATATATTTGTAGGTATAGCGTAGCGTATGCGAAAGGTTCCTCGCCCCCTGACGAAGTTATATCCTTCAAATCGGTCCATGTTTTATTGAAAAAAACGAAAAAACGTTCAAAAAGTATTATGGCGTACTAATCTATATATAACTTATTAAATCCAAATTTTTGAAATGAAAATTTAAGTTTTCCGTTCGGTTACAAATTTTATTCTATCCTGATCTACAAAATTTTCTATTATTTATAGCACAAAATTTTCAATACAAATTTCTAAGGTTGTTTATTTTCTATCCAAAACACTGGTAGTATAGAAACAGTAGTTTTCCTAACAAGTGAAGTCACTGCCAAGTGAATTCATTAATGTACCTTAACTACTCCCCCTTTAAAATCTGAAACGCCCCGGTTTCAGCTATTTAAAATTTTGTTTGAATAACGTAACTTAAATATAACCTTTAAACATGCATTTTAACAGATATTCAAGATAACTTAATGTTTTTAGATAATTATGAATAAAGAAAATCTCGCGAAATACTCATTGTGTTAAATATTTTTTTAAAACAAGTTCACAAATTAGTTATAAAAAATTATTCAATAAAAGCAATCTTTAATAAATATTTACGCAATGACGCAGTAATCTTTACTATCCTTTTCGCAGGATATTTATAATTATTATTTTTATCAATTTTAAATAGAAAAGCGTATCAATTTTGATATTAACTTCAGTTATTTCAATAAACCTATGTAGATACAAAAGCCATCTTCCTCATTATATAGGGATTGAATTCTGGTTTTATTCTGAACTTGCAATTGATTGATTTTGATTTCTTGACGTGATGGGCGTTGCTATGCTTTTAATTTCATTGATGACTTCTTTGACCACGAAGCTCGACGCTTAAATATTGCACTCTTTGCTTGAAATGTCCGAAATTGTTTTTAAGAGCATAAATGTCCTTGTTTGATGTTGAGAAAACTTTTATAAAATAACACCTCGATGATCGATGATTTCTTGTGAAATTTCTGTGTAAGATGTACGTTAACTGCTGCTTAATAACGCGGCGTCACTACGTCGACTGCTGACCAATAACTTCGTTAAAAACACGAGGTCACTCGCGTTATAAAAGCAGGGCGCCTTTTTTATTTCATTTGTTTTGTATTTTATTTACTTTAATATTTATATCGCCTACTAAGGATAGTTGTATACTTTCTTAGGATTTATTTTAAAACTATTTTCCTTCTCTAAGGATATTTCTGTCATTTTTTAAGGATTCTCCTTTTATAAGGATTTTTCAAATTATTATTATCCTCTTATAAGGATTCGTTATATTTTTATCAATTTTACGTTGGGCGCCACTTATTAGGTCCGAATTTTCGAAATGAAAATTTAAGTTCTCCGTTCGGTTACAAATTTTATTCTATCCTGATCTACAAAATGTTCCATTATTTATTATGAGGCAATAATGAAAGGTGTTATACGTTGGCAACTTCTCGCTCTAATCCGCCATCTTGAACTACCTTAGGAGAAACTGTGTTGTTTCTTTGCTAATTTCACTGAACATTTCCCAAAATATTAGAAAAAATTCTAAACAAGCTACATTGATTCAATTTTCGTTGTTCGTTTGTTCTTATTCGCTGACATTTGTTTTCTAATTGCGTGAAATTTGGTAAGCATTGTAATAAAACCGAATTATTTTACAAATAAATTATAATTTTGCATTTATTAGGTCATTTCCTTAGTGTTTTCCTAGCCGACCTGTGCTGGTATTGTAATTAAGAGCTAATACACGTAAGTTACAACATATTATTTTGACTTTATTGATGAACCATTCCATTTGCAGCATTCTCTGGTGAACTGCAGCTGCGGCCGAATTTGATTGTGTGCATCATCCTGCAGATATTTTGAAGTAAGTTGGAAGCAGCACTTTGTTATTTCAAAACCTAATGAACCATTTATTCGCAGATTTTGTGGACGATTTTGCTGTGCTGCATTCCTGCTCCGCCTGTGTATTGCTCCACCCGTGTTTTTTAGTGTTGCGTTCCTGTTGCGCCTTTGCATTAGTGTGTGCGTTAAAAACCTAAAAAACCATTTATTTGCAGATTTTTTGTATGCTTCTGCTGTGCTGCGTTCCTGCTCCACCCGTGTATTAGATTTCTGCGTTCCTGTTAATATACATATCGTCGTTTGAAGTACAAAACCGAGTAACTGATACATGGTTTGTACTTTAAACGACGATACACATTTATTTTTCGCTTGTTTTTTTTTTTAAATATGGTTAATTCTACAACAAAAAACCCAAAAATCAGAGTTCCAAACCTTGTGCAAAATTAAAGAAAATTTTGCAAAATTTCATTCAAATATTGCACTTTTTATACACGCTCTCTAGAAAAAAGTTGAGTATGCAGTTTTTTAGCCCATTTAATTTTATAACAAAGTGCAAGTTAGAGGTAGCTGGGACTTACCATTGATTTTAGCAATTTTTTTTGTTGAAGGTGTCGCTCATTTTCTCCATATAAAATAATATTTGATAATTTTTTTATATGGAAAAAATGTGCGACCCCTTCAACAAAAAAATTTCCCAAAAATCAATGGTAAGTCCTAGCTTCCCCATACTCGCACTTTATTATAATAAAATTGAATGGGCTAAAAAACTGCATACTCAACTTTTTTCTATAGAACGTGTATACAAAGTGCAATATTTGAATGGAATTTTGAAGAATTCTCTCTAATTTTGCACAAGGTTTGGAGCTTTGATTTTCGGGGTTTTTGTTGTAGAATTAACCATATTTTTATAAAAAATAAGCAAAAAATAAAATATTTAAAAAACAGTTGCCCGTATTGTAAAAAATTCGCTGTACTTAAACTTTATTGACTGACTGTATACACAATTAATGATGTGTACATAATTTTTTTATATTGAAACTAGATATGTATATAGTATGTTATTATTATTATTCGGTCCTATCTCAAATGAAAATACTTTCAAAATGTGCTGAGATAGGGCGTTTTGAATCGTCAGCTGAGATAGCGTGTTTTTGAACCGAGTTCTGAGATAGGGCATTTTTCAACCAAATTCTAAAATAGGGCGTTTTTTAGCCAAATTTTGAAATAGGGCGTTGAAAAGTTTTCTGATATCGAGCGTTTTCGACCTGTCTGCCGAGATAGGTCGATCTTCCACCCAGCCATCGATATATAGTCGCATTTTTCGTTATATGGAAGACGATTAAACACGATTTGTTTTTATATCGATTCTGAAAAATCGACGGTAATTTTTAGTCACTTCAAACTTGTTTTATGAAGTTTTAAAATTGGGCTTATATTTACTTTACTTTATTTATTATTGCAAATTCTTAAAAATAAATAAATTAACATGAGAGGAAAATAATATCACTTTGATGTGGGGTTGCTATTGATATGACCGATACTTATGTATATAATAAATTTTGCACATTTAAAAATCAAAGTGGACTTACTGAAATAAACACAACATATTCTGAAATATATCGTTAATTTCAAAAAATAAAAATAAATAAAATAGAACATTAAAAAGTAGTCAATGCTTGCTGTATGGCACGAACTTGGATATACGTGAATTTGGGTAATGTATAATTCCTTATATGATTCCTCAAAGTATCCCTTATATAACACTGTGGAATACAAAAAAGACCTTAGTGCGAATATATCAGGTTTGATAGCTGTTGACCAAGGTGCATTAAACAAGGTTTGATTGACAACTCAGTTAGACTCTCTTTTAAGGTACTATTATGCCAAAAAATATAAACAATCGATTCAAAATTCATAAAAAAAATTTTCAATTTGACTTTATAGGATGGTTCTTCTGAGAGCAATGTCAAATTCAATCACACATTGTTGAATACATTTTGCTGTTGATCATACCAATAATGCCTCATACTCAGATTTACAAGATCAATTCGTGTTCTCCGAGAAAAAAAATGTTCACGATACAAAAATCTGAAAAATCTTTTTTCTCCAAATTTTGAACATTTATCGCTTTTGGCCTATATTTTGTTGAAATAGTAAAACTGAGTATGAAGCATTATTGGTATGGTCAGCAGCTATCAAACCTGATATATGCGCACAAGGAGCCCATATGGAAGAGGGGGACAAAAGACCATATGTAAATGAATTCCTTATTTGGCCTGTACAATATAAGGGAAACATTTCAAATTCATAAGTTTCATAAATTTTCTTAGTGATGCGGCTAATATAAGGAATTATATAAGCCATACTGTTATACCTGGGTATTCATCAGCTCAAAAAGTTTAAGCATATTATCCTATTCCTGTGAATAAAAACACGCCTAATTTTATTATTTTAATTATCTACAACTTTATGAGGCTACCAAGCCATATATATACCTATTCTGATAATCGGAACGCTGTTGAGATGGCATAAAATTAAGTACTTTTTCAACTAAAAGGCTTTTTTTCTTCCCGTTTTTCTTGTACTTCCAAAATACAATATTGACCTAAGGTAGTTCGATTTCGAGCTGTCACAACGTACAACACCTTTCACTATTGCATCATGATTATTTATAGCACAAAATTTTCAGTACAAATTTCTAAGGTTGTTTATTTTCTATCCAAAACAGTGGTCGTATAGAAACAGTAGTTTTTCTAACAAGTGAAATCACTGCCAAGTGAATTCATTGATGTACCTTAACTTATATAAAATAATAGCCGTTTTCTTTGTTGGGAGTTAACTCAAAAACTACTGCATAGATTTAAGTCTAATTTTCACAGGCTATACCTTACATATAAGGTCCTATTATAAGCTACCAGAAAACTCAGTAGATGGCGCTGGGGTCGAATTATTTATAAAAATCTTATTTATGAACCGATTTCTTTTAAATTCAAAATGTAAGCTACCAGCATGAAGGCAAACACGTTTCCCAAAAATAGATCCGATTGGTGGTGCGGAGGTCGAGTTATTTATAAAAGTCGTATTCATAAACCGATTTCTTTCAAATTCGTAAGCATGATGAAAAAAGCACTTGCGAAAAACGGAAACGCTAGGTTGTACTGGAGTTAAGTTGAAAAAAACCACTCAAAAGAGCCCAGTCAAATTGTCGGAGGTTATACCTTGCATATATGGTCCTATTATAGGCTACTAGAAAACAAGCTGGTGGCGCTGGAGTAGAGTTACTTATAAAAGTCGTATTTATTAACAGATTTCGTTCAAATTCGCAGCTAAATTCCTAAAATTCCTTTGCTAAAAATGGACCGCTGGAGTTTAGGTATTTAGAAAATCCGTATTTTTTATAAAATCTGATTGGGATTCATAATTCGTATTCAAGCAAAGGTTCTGTACAAAAGGGACCCAATGGATGACGCTGCACCCGAAATATATAGAAACCCCCCGGGGTTTGTTCTGCTTTGGCCCTATGTTTATCTTAGACGAATTTGCTCTTCAGATGGCTAAATCAAGGATGCGTTTAAGTATGCATATAAAGACCGTAAGACTGCGTAAGCGTGATCTTGCATCTACCTCCGATTGACGAAGTTGCTCGAGCCGGCCGTTATTACAGCAGTAAGACTCAAAGAAACCAATTCATAAATATTAAGACGAATTGCAAAAGTGGCGAATTGACAAAGAAAGATTCGACCACGAGAACGATAGGTATATCAATGGCTTCATTTGAACGATATTTAAGAGATCACACGACTCATTTAGTCAATGTACGGGCAAACTTTTCATCCTGTGGCAAAGCGTGGATTATTGGCCCTCTTGAGTTTCCTTATAAGGGCATTTGCTAGTCTTCGATAAATCAGTAAATACTGAAGCTAATTTATTCAAAATTAATGCTTGTGATAATTCTTTAGCTAGATGATAAAATTTTGGAAAAGAGGCCACCGCCACCTTATGATCACAGTATCTCGGTAACCGTTCTACCAATTTGTTCAAAATTATTGAAATCGGAATGAAATTACGGCCACTTGTCATATAATGGTAAATTTCAGAAATGCTTGAAACTTGGATATTTCGAAATTTAAGGACGCTAATTTACTCAAATTGATACTAACAACAATCCCTTGGAAAGAAGTAACATCATTTCCGTGTAGCGGGAGTTTTCGGTGAGGTGAAAAACTTATATTTATTACTTGCGCCGGGTATTTTGGTTCGGCTCCGCCCGAACTTAGACTTTCTTACTTGTTTTTATTAGACTTTGTATAAAAAACTGTTTAGGGTTGGTCGAATGAATGGCTCATAGTCACCAGTTCCGAGTCTATTCGATTGCTGAGTATGAGGCCTTATGTTGTAAAAAAGGGGGAGAATAAAGAACTCAATTGGAGGTAATTAGCATATGGTTACAGAAGATATGTAATAAAGTAACCGACGAAGACTTGCGAGCCGCTTGCGCTTTTCTAACAAATTGTTTAGCGCTAGTAAACCATAATAAAGGTTAAAATTTAAAAATTAACTAATAACGTTTAAGTAAAATCTATGGAAAATTAACAATAAACTGCTTTTTCGCAAAATATATAAATGGCCTTTTTATTTTTCTAAAAACCTGCGCGACAGTTGTTATTTTACAGCCTGTATATGACAAAAAATGAATAGCTGGAAAAAGGAGTACAAAAGAAGTACAAAACTAAACAAAGAGTACATTTCCAGTTTTTTTTTTGGGAGTACAAGGGAGTATATTGCACTATAAAGGACTATGTTTACTCCCAAAAGTAGTACGTCTGGCAACCCTACCGGACAGTCTGGATTTTAGTCTGCAGCTCCGGTGAAACTTATAACCTAATCGCAGCATACGTACATTAGGGCGGTCCTTAAGAATGGAATGGGCGATTTTTTTCAGTCCCACCCCTTCAGTCGGTAATACCACGGTCACAGATATCACGTACAAATTTTGGTCCCGATTGGACTCGGTTAAGGTGTCTTGCAATAGGGTCAAAGGCCAGATGCTCTATGGAGACTCAAAAAATTTTCAAATTTGTTGGTTTTGCCGACTCGAGGTCAAATTTTTTTTGGCATCATAATTGAAACATAGGTTTTTAATTCTCTCCAATATATTTCACTTACACCGTGGTAACCGTCTTCAGGGCAAATTGATTACACGTCTGCTCCGTGCGGCGTGGAGTTTTGTACATGGAGCAGACGGTTACCGCGTGTAACCGAAATATATTGGAGAAAAATAAAACCCTGTGTCTTAATTAAAATTCCGAAAAAATTTGACCTCAAACCGGCAAAACCAACAAATTAAGAAGTGAAAAGGTCGCCAAAACCATCATCAATATTTTTTTATTTAATACCCAAAATCGATACTGATAAAGTCGAAGATATCACATAAAAATTTTGGTCCCGATTGGAGTCGTTTAATACGTCTTCATAGCGTAATCTGAATTCACAATTTGTATGTGATATCTTCGACTATAGTTGTGTCGATTAGAAGAAAAAAGAAATAATTGTAATTCCTTGAGTCTCCATAGAGGAATCTGAAATTTGCTCCCTGTGCGACACGCCTTAATCGACTCCAATCGAGACCAAACTTTATATGTGATATCTTCGACTATAGTTGCATCGACCTAGGGGTTGAAGCTTAGGAAATCTGATGTAAAAATTTGCTTCCTACATTTAAGATCGAATATGATCTGAGAAGAGGATATATAGGCCTTTAAAAAGCCTAAGCACAATTTTTATACAAAATTTGGTCGAGATCGGTCAAGTGGTTTTTGAGACACGCATATATCATATAAGTGGGCGGTGCCATCCCCATTTTCAAAAAAGTTATTGAAACTTAAAGAGCGATTGATTGATATATATCAATTTTGAATAAATATTGATGAATTCCTTAGCCACACTGCTCAAAAAATCTGTAGGTTCAGTACATACACAATATAAATTCAAGGCCGTAATTAATAAAAGTCGCCTTATCAGTTTATATAAAAATAAATTTATTTTTAGATACTACTACATATTTTGAAATTGTGGAACTTATCGAAGGCCAAAATTTGAAAAATTAAGAGAAATATGTTTTTTTTTTTTTATTTTACCCGATAAAAAGTCCCAACAATCCAAGTCCGCCAATAGATTATTATATACCATTTTAAAGGCCTATGTATGCTCTTCTCAGATCATAGTCGATCTTTGAAATCGAATCAAAAATAGTCATTCAAGCACTCATAAATCTACAAAGTCGTATTTTCTGACCTAAATAACCTTTAAAAAATCTATAACAATAGGCAATAATATTTGTCATAAAAGCTAATAAAATTTGGGGGGTAGGGTCTTGAAATTTCCCCCAAAAAAAAAACATTTTCGATGGGTACCCTAATGTGCATAAGTTCATAGTCATATCGTCACATCTGTACCGTTAGTTCGATTTTAAAAAATTAGGGCTTGGTCTACAGATGTGTAGTAACATTTTCGAAAAGGGTTGCCACTTGATAAATAATTAAATTCAATATATAATTCAATAAGTTAATTAAGTATTAAAATATGAGTTTCGATCGAAATGGTTTTGAAAACGCTTTATTTCTTAATTATACGTAGGAGGTTTGCCACCTTTTTAAAAGGGGAAGTTCAATTTAAATTAATGCAATTAGAAAATTTAAATATGTATCATGATAGTGGTGTCAGGCAAAGAAGGTTGTGGTCAAAAATATTTTGTAGAGGGTTGCCACCTGTTTACAAAGTTACATTCAATGTATGCAATAGGTAAATGATTACTACTATATGGATATCAATTAGTTGGTTAAAGAATAGGACCGCAAATAAGTGTTCACTGATTGAGAAAAATGCTGACCTCTCTTTCTTTCGCTTTCCCATATTTTTATACCCGAGCGCACTTGTGCACCAGTACAAAGTATGCATAACTGAGCTGTAACTCTGGAATCTTATAAAAATTGTTGGTTCTCTATTGCTAATCTCACTTATTTTTTATAATATGCATGAACTAATTCAAAAGCACCGTGTTTTTTATGAAAGTCAAACTCGTATATTTACTTTAGTATTTCTTTTTGGCCTCACTTATTGCTAATATAAACTTTGTCAAATTTTTGCTTTAGATCCGCGAAGCTCTTAAGTCAACAACGTAACATGCACCAAACACCAACATGCAATTGTTACATGCAACATTGGTAGCAGTCAGGTCAACAATGGTGCTATAAATATCATGTACTGAGTTAGTTAATGGCAGTTTGAATTCGCAACTGTAAAAGTACCAACCATGGGAAAGCATGCGAGTTGGGTGCTGGTAATACTCCATATTTTCAGCTTTTGGTTGTCTTGTCAAGGCCTTATGAACGAGCATCAAGAGACGGCAAGGAGTGCCATTTTCTTACGTTCGCAAATAGAAATGGATTCGGAGCCGTGGATATCGGGCATAGGTTGTTTAGATTCGTTCATTAAAATCGCCTTCACGCACCGCGAGCGGTTGACGCGCTCCTACAATCTACTTATGACAAACAGCTACTATATTTCTTCGCCGGCCTTAGAGATACAGAATGGGCTCTTAAAAATTTTGAATGAAGTGGTTAGCCAGAGCAATGATAAAGGGCGACGGATTTTTCAGATTCGCACAGTCTTCGACAATAAACGATATGTGCAGGTGAAGTTCGGTGACAGCGCAGTAATATACACTGATTACTATGTCATTGTAGTGGACAGTTTAGAAAGGCTTAAAATATTTATGCGGGACTATATTAGTCGCATGGTTTCTTGGAACCCTGGAGCCCGCTTTTTGCTGTTATTCAACAATGCGTCGAAGCGGGATAACGAACACGAGGTGGCAATGGAGGTTTTCACCCTTTTGCAGAAGCAATACTATGTCCATCAAATAGGTCTTCTGTATGCAACTGGTGAGACAGACTACTCATTCTCAGTAATGGACTACTACAATAATGAATACTGTCGCACTATAAGAGTGTCCAAAATAGGCGAGTGCAAAAAAGGGCAGCCTCAACCGAATGCGGCCGAGGTTAAACGGAAGCTGCGCAAATTTGAACGCGATATTAGGATAAAAAATTGCACCTTTCAAATGTGCGCAGCCGTATCAGCGCCTTTTGTGGAGAAAAGCTGCCGGACTGGAATAGAGTTGCGTATTATAGGTTTCATGAGAAATCGTCTAAACTTCAAGGTAAATATGGAATCTCCTTATTATATTTATTCACGGCCTGCTCCTTAATTTACAGATCAAGCATTCTTGTGAAGAGGAGAGCAGAGGAGTGCGTGAAGAGAATGGAACATGGACTGGGCTGCTGGGAAGACTATTTGATCGTGACTGTGATTTTATACTTGGCGGATTCTTTCCTGACAACGAGGTTAATGAAAATTTCTGGACTTCCGACTGTTACCTCTCCGATAGCTATACTTGGTTTGTGAAACTCGCTGATCCAAGACCTGCATGGATCGCTCTCTACAGCATTTTCCAAGACGAAACGTGGATATGCTTTATTGTTTTGCTTAGCTTTACTTGGATATTCTGGTACTTTTTCGTAAACATGCTTCCTGAACCACCAGACCACAAAGATTTTTCGCTAGCAGGCATTAATGCCATGGCTGTCTCTATATGCGTCGCTGTCGAAGAGCGCCCAGAGTGTTTTGCTTCTCGCATTTTCTTTCTCGCAGTAACTATTTACGGAATGAACGTTGTTGCAATTTATACTTCGCAGCTAATCACCGTATTCACTGATCCTGGCTATCTACACCAAATAGACAATCTCGTCGAGGTACTTGAAGCGGGCATACCTTTTGGAGGTCCAGATGAAAATCAAGACTGGTTCGAAAATGACGAAGATATGTGGATCTACGAAATGTATAACGACACGGACTTCTTTATACCAAACTCAGATAATCTTCGTGCTGTGAGGAATGGCAAACGTGTCTTACTTGCGAGTCGAATGTATGTGTTGCAAGATCGCCTCGCCGATGAACTTTTTGCATTTCCAAAGAACGTTTTTTCTAGTCCACTACAAATAATAATGAAAGCTGGATTTCCATTAGTATCTGATTTCAATTGGCTCATAAGAGCTATGCGAGACCATGGAATTTTTCAAAAGATCGACAATGATTTTCGCTTCAACAACACCTATCTTAATCGAATAAACCGCATGCGACCAGAGTTTAAAGGTAATAATGAAATAAGTACACGAGCCTGCCACCCCCTTAACCCTTCTGCAATGATTGACTGACCCAACTGACCCAATTTTTATGAAAAAATTCTTTAACAACAGAGTTAGGTAATTTTAAATGAGCTGCGGCGTTGTCTATTCGTTAAAAGCATAATCAGCTATGGTTTCGCAAAAATATAAGAGTGTTTTATTTTATTTAGTTTTCTAGAAGGCGACATAGTTTTTCCATACATCCACAGTGTTTCTGGGTCAATTTGATCCAAATTATTAATTGGTAACTTTGAAACGGTAAGCATACAGTACTTGCCGATAAAGATTTTGCTTATGATAAATAAAATATTAACTTAATTTAAATTGAAATTTCTATTATTGGATCAAAATGATCCAAAACATTATAGGAAGGGGTAAATTCCAAACACTGAAGAAGGGCATGACAGGTATTAGGTACAAATCTACGAAAAAAGAAATAAAAAATTCCATTACGTAAGTTTTCCGAGAAAATAACTTTTCCAGTGTTCATAGTGTTTCCATGAATTAATGGTGTTAACTACGAATTTACATAATTCTTTCTGATTCCTTAGCCTCTTTAGGATAATTTTTAGCTTTTTACGTAAAAATTTAAATTCCAGTTGATTATTTATATATATATATTTTTGGCTTTCCATGAAAATTTTCAACATTTCTGCATGTGATCAATAAAAATATATTTTGATGTGCTGGATAGGTCATAATTCAAATTAACGTACGAAAATATCAGAAAAAATAACATAATTATCTGAAGGGGAAAAGGCTAAATTTCGCAGGCCTGTGTTATTTAATATAAAAAAAAATAAAAGCATCAATAAGAACACATGATCCTTTTGCAGAGTCTGCAATTGTTCTCACCACTGATCACCTCAAAGGTTCCTTTTCCATTCTGGTCGTTGGAGTTGTTGCAAGCATAATTTTGTTCGTGTGTGAGCTTTTTGCTTTCTGGATTTTCATGCCTTATTTGAAGAAGTTTACCAATGAGGAGAGGATGGACCGATCTGAACGAGGAAAATCATTCCAAACGCTAGTTAAGAAAGATAGAAGGAATAATAAAAATAGAGTAGTAAAGAAAAATAACGAAATGAAAAAGAAGCCAGTTAAATCAAGTAAAAAGAACAAGAAATCCGAGAGCAAAACCTACAAAGTGGATGTTGTAAACAACATAAGATTCACGCCAGTGAAACGACGATATATAGATTTGAATCCTTATTAAGCTTTTATGGAAAAATTACAGCTTTTCAATATTTTATAATTAGATTTTTGTGATATGAAAAGCAATAAATCAATATCTACAGCTTTAGATATTTATGTAAATACATACATAAGTTGGTATATGCTGTTACCCACTATACTATATAAAACTTGTATTAAAATTTTCGCAAAGCAAGTGCTTGAAGAAAAATGGTTTGAAAGGGAACGGATTCGTATAAGTTAAACTTAGGACAACTGCCATTTAACTACCAACGGGAGATAGCGATTTACAGAAGGCTATTAATAAAATTGAAGGTTATGCACCCAAACAGGTCGATTTAGATGTATCTGGGATCCACAGTACTCCAACGAGAAAAGTCAGTGTGGAGCGCTCTTTTTCGGCGCTAAAACTGAGTTTTAAACAACAAATACTTCTAAATAAAACAAAAATTAATGCGCGTGGGGTGCGCTACGGAAGTGAAACTTCCCTTGATTTTTTTAACCATAACAACGGAAGTGGCACTTCGTGTTACCCATGTAGAGTTTTGTGAGTTTGCGTCACAATCCACTATTAGGCCCATACCATTTGAATCGGCGTACGTAACGATGTCCATAAGCTCCCTCGAAGGAGGGAGGCTATAGAATCATATGGTAGGAAGGAGGAACATATAATGGCCTCGGCGCGTTGCCCGCCCGTACAGTACACAATTTTTATCGAAACGACATCTTGAGAGCAGAACTCTCTAAATATCGTGCACTCGGCACTATAACGCATGTGCGTAGTCTTTCCGTCCCTTTAAGTTGAAGGATTTCCGCCCAGGAAATCTCTCCAAGTCTACATATAGAGATGGTTCCTGAATTATGAATACTTGGAGATTTGCTATGCTGCAAATCAATTTAAAAATAATTTCCGTAGGCAGCGACCATAAACGCATTTGGTTCGAAGGACTTTCAACAAGCCTGCGTCAATGGAAAGAGCCGTCTCCATCGCTCGAAGTCGGTTTTCCCCTGGTGTATGAGTAAATACGCAATTTTATCGCTTTAGAACCTCGCTTGGTTCCGAGAAGGCCCTGGTGGTTCTTATCATTTTTAAATTGCATCTAACTTTTTGGGCTAATTTTCAGTTGGCATTTCGGGTGCAGAGTTAGATACCAAAGGAATTTGAGCACTCGCCTTGGCTATAGACGCAGCCTTCTTCTCCATTTACCTCCTTCTCTTCACCTGCACTGCGGTCAGCTTTTCACCCGTTCGAGGATCACCAATACAGGATTAATCCATACCGACACTCTCCCGGTTTGCACCAGGTTTAACCATTGTTGGTTCCATCTCTGAAACCAGTGTCCGCTTTGAAAGAGGAGAAGGACCATCAAGCATCTTCATATCTTGTCACAACGTTGGTTGCTCCAGAATGTTCCGATGGTAGTTCGCCCTCCACTTCATTTAGGAGTAGGCTCTCCATTGCCAAAGTCAATGTGCCGCTTGTTTCCACCGAGACCCTGGGTGCCAATCGCTTCATGGTGGACCGTGAGCTTTGGGCCTGCACATCCGATGCCCAGGCCGCCGTAAAATGGGTGGAGGATTTTCAGCTTGCTGGTTATCCCGTGCAGAGGTATCAGGATTTGGCTCCTCCATGAGGAAAAGGAGATTGTAATCTATCCTTACTGCTAAGCGGTGGCCCTTTCAAAGGGTATTTTTCCCGTCATCCTCCTACTTCCCGACATGCACCGAATGCCATTCGCATTGCTCCAATCAAGCAAATCTTGGGTTTCGTTCAAAAACATCCCCAATCAAGAGAGTAGAGTGCAATCGGTGAGTAAATGTCTCACACAGTTGCACCATCACCCGTTGAGAAGGTCTGAATAGCGATTCGACTGACCCCTCGCACCGTGTCAAGGTGCTTGCTTTCACGACCGTATCTTTTTTCCTTTTTGTTGTTTATTCAATAAGTGATTACCAGTAAAAAAACATGGTTAATTAGGAAATACAAATTCAAATAATAGATTTACTGCGGAAGGGTGAGACCGTAGAAAAAGTGGTAAAAAAATGTTGCCATTGGAAAATGCTAAGACTGAGAAAAAATATAGCCACAAGTGTTCCTAATTACAAAGGAAGTCGGGCAAAGAATATTACGGTGTGACCTCTTGTGACCTTAGTAATCGATGCAGCCACTCTTGCAGAAGCGCACAAGGTATTAAACTTTAATTTAAGTCAGTAGACAGCGAGGCACAGTATTGCCAAATTGAGCATAATGCAGCGCAAGAAACCCAGACCGTTGCTAATTGAGATATGGTAGCCCGGGCATGGTATTGGATTAGTGACCCTAATTAAGCCCAAACGCGTCGTGTTAGAAAAACCGTGAATCACCGTGGTGGGTCAATAATGGGTTGTATTTCAAAAAATTGTGTTGGTCCGTTATGCGTAAGGAATAGTATCTGGTCATCTTGCAAAATTTGCCAGGTGTAGTGAAAAAAATGAGAGTTGCTGCTGAAAAATCAGGCGAAGCACACTGTTCATGTTGACAAAGGCTGGATACAAAACCAAACATTTCCTAATTGTAAGTGGCCTCCACCACCTCCCGGCATGAATCGTAAGTGTTCAATGTGGTAAATGAACTGTGAAAGCAAACTACGGATTCACCTTCAGAAATTTTACAAAGATTAACCTTCAGTAAGCCAAGTCGCGTCCAGCAACTTAGAAAAGGAAAGGGATACTGAAAATCGTACTACTTAATAATTTTTTTCTTTCCTCTTTCAAAAATATCCAATTTCATAAAATTTCAATGCCTATTTATCATATTGCTCAAGCGTTAGACGATAAAGAGTCCATACACCTTCGTAGCCCATTACGCCCATTAGGGTACTTAAATCTGACATTATAGACAATGGTTTTTATGTAAAAAAATATTTAAAAAATGCTATAATCAAAAAGAAAAACATTCACTTATTTTTTTTTTGTTTCTTTATACGTTGCACATTAATGTAAAAAATGTATAATTAGCGCCCATAATAAGACGGAAGAAATACATTTTTTTCATTAAGTTTCGTTAAAAGGCTTCCAAGATACAGCACTTTGAAGAAAGGTATGTATGACATTTTTTATTAAAATTTAAGTCCCGTGTAAATAGGGACGTCATATCGGCAAATTATGCTGCACGTATATTCATGTCACCTAGGCCTTCAATCTCTTCAACTTACATCCAAATCCTTAGAGGTCGCGCACAGAGGTGGCCGCGGTGACATGAAATGCCTCCTCTGCAAATACTTCAATAGATTCTACATGTCCAACCTTAACATTTCTAAACACTCCCTCGTTTGACACGTTAATTTGAGTATAATTAATTTAAATTTGATTTTTACTACAGGTGGCAAACCTCTCCAAAATATTTTCCAACTAAAATGTTATTAAACCCTTTGGTCTGACACCCATACTGTGATATACATTCCAATTACCTAATGCCCTTAATTCAAACAAAATTTAATATTTCAAACAGCTGGCAAACCTATTATTATTATTGTCATTATTATTGCTATTGTTATTAAACCCTTATGTCTGACACCCATATTGTGATATACTTACATTCCAATTATTTCATTCCCTTATGTTAAGTAGAATTTGATTTTTTAAACAGGTGGCAACCATCTACGGTTACCAGACGTACTGATTTTATCAATATAGTAATGATTTTTCAACTCTGTACTGATTGTATTAATTTCTTCAATCAGTACGCTAATGTCCTGATTTTTCAAAATTTGTATTGATTTGTACTGAATTTTCAATTCAAACAAAATACTTTAGATTTACTTAATGTTTTTACATAACGTTGGAACTTCCTTAAACTGTACTGTAAAAAGTAAGAAGAAAATAATTTCATTATAGTTGACCTGTTTCAGATAATGTTTCATATCCCCAAGAAATTAATACAACAAAAAGTTCAATCCTTTTGTGGGTCCGGGTCGTTACGTACCAGTTGCGATAATATGATGGAGCTTAATTTATTTAAAAAGAAGGCTGACGTTTTTTTGTCGAGTGTAGCTAGTTATCTCGAAAATAACTTTCAGTTTAATAACAACAAATTTGAATATTCGAATGGCTTTTGCCTATAACTTACAACTCTTTTTTCACAATTTACTGACACTTTAAAAGAGTATTGCATAAAAGACATAGAGTTGGATACTCTTTTTAGCGAATTATTAGTCTTTCAAAGTTTTTGCATAGTTGAAAAAATTTATTTGAGCCATCAGGAATTATATATGCAGTCTTTAAATAGTGGTACTTTTCCACAGTTAGAAAAAATATGTAATTTTGTTTTTTTCAGTACTACACTCAAACGAAGCAACTGAGAGGATCTTTAATTAAAATTTTTTAAAGTGAACTTCATATTGAAGTAATTTTAAAGAGAAATGTATAGAATTCTTTGATACGGAAGATGGAAATGAACTGATTATTGCTATTCAAAAATGTCATAAATATAAAATAATTTATTGGCTTCTGTGCACAATTACTACGTTTTATTTCAAATAGCAATTTGCAAAATGGTAAACTTTGCCGTATAAACGCTTAGTTAATTTTTTATTTGCAAATAACTAAATCACGCAAATAAGTAGATATTGATTAGTGGTATTATTTGCAAATAAGCGCAAGACGCCGCCATTCTTAGGTTTATTTTCTGTTTCGATGGTCATCTTATTGCCTTTTTATAATCAGACATTATTAAAAAAGAATTTTTCACCATCGAATAAACAGTGAGTTAGGTATTTGCAAATTATTTTCATTTGCAAATAGCTTACGTATAAACGTAGTAAATGATGTGTACACTCATGTTAAAGTGAAAAACACTTTTTTATGAACTATATTTTACTTATGTACCAAAATATTGTCGAAAACAAGTACTCTGACGTTTTAAAGTATTATCTGTTTCTTACATTCATAATTCTGCTTTGAACAAATATGTACTGAAAACTACTGATTTTTTTGGCATGAAAACGTCTAACGTAGTGATACCGCGCATAAAAATCTGGCAACCCTACAACCATTCTTCATGTAGTTTAGAACTAAAACCCTTTTCAAAAACTTTTCGATTGATATTCATATTGTAGTAATTCATTTAAATTAATTTAATTTAATTTAATTTTTAATAGGGTGGCAACCCTAGTAAAAGAGTATTCTTAGTGTACATTCTGAGGGTTTCTTAAAAATCTTTCGTTTAACACCATTATTTTCAGGTGGCAACCCTTTCGCATTATTTTCAAACTACAACTTTTTAAGCCACTTGGCATCAATTTTTTAATTCAAGTTGAATTTGATTTTTTAAGCAGGTAATAGCCCTCCTCCATAAGCGTGGAATTGATTATATCGTCGTTTGAAGTACAAACCCGCGCATCGTCATACTTCAAAACCGCGTAACTGACATTGGCTACCAAAAATTGGATTTGCTGGCACAAGCTCTTGGCTCAATCCTTATCCATTCGTCCTGAAATATACTAGCCAGAAATGCGATTTCTTTATAAAAAGAGAGAAACATTTTGAAATATGAGTGTTTTACGCTCTAGAATATAATTTCTACAACTTCACACACGCGGTTTTGCATTTTGTTGATACGCGGTTTTGTACTTTAAACGACGATATATATCGTTGAAGATAATGCAAAACTGGGTAAGTGAATTATGTAAATTATCTTCTAGAGAGTAAAAACACTCATTTCAAAATGGTTCTCTTTTTTATAAAGCAATCGCATACCTGGCCAGTATATTTCAAGACAAATGGATAAGGATTGAGCCAAGAGCTTGTGTGAGTAAATCCAATTTTTGGCAGCTAATGCGAGTTACGCGGTTTTGCAGAACGACGCGGTTTTGTACTTTATAGCTGAAATACAATGCCGGCGAACGGCGAACTCACCACAGCGAAATTCGCGCTGTCAAAATTAGAACACCCGCAAGCATATGAAATTGAACACAGCCAAAGCGAAATGCGAAGTTCGCTTGGCGGCGTTTCATGGCGATAGATTTATTTCTATCGCCCTACTGGGCGATGACAGCTGAGCGTGCCAAAGGTGGCCGTATTTCTTTTTTGCTTTCAAAGTTTTAAAAGAAAACAACCTGAACACGATTTTTTTTTGTTTGAAAACTATAGTTGTGGATTCGTTAAATCTGGCTTGAAACAAATTATTTATAATAATCTTTCTTTGGTTTACATTTATATTTGTTATCATTTCCTCATTTCTGAATATGGTTTAGTTTTTTCTAAATATGGTCACCGAAATTATAAAGGCGACCAAATGGGATCTGCTGTTTTCGCTACCGCTCTAATTCTGTTTAAGTAGGCGAAATAGCTGGGCAAACGGTGAACGACAGCATCGCGCAATTCGGTGAAGTTTGCCGTTCGCCGGTATTGTATTTCAAGCATTAAACGACGATATCTCCATACCAAGCTCCATTACTCTTAACACAAATATGTATTTCCTGCGATATGCAGTATGAAAAATTCCGTTTGCATGGGAGGTGCCACGCCCCCTTGTCCAATCGAGATTACGGCGTGACAAATTATATTTAAGTTGGGCTAAATGACACCAGTGTACAAAATTTCATGACGGTCGATTGAGTAGTTAAAGCGTAACAAACAAACAGCCTCACTTTCG